GGGGGGGTGGGAAGGACTCCTGGTTCTGGGCCACTTTGCCACTCGCTTTACCGAGACCCCAAGCAGGTCACTTCTCCCTTTGAGCGGCTACATCATCACCTCTGAAGGGGGCAGTGGCGCACCCCACACCCCACACCCACTGAAGCAGCGACAAGCTTGCAGAGAGCAGCTCTCAAGAGCGTTCGTCGATTTTTTCCCTCAGTGACAGCAACCCTATGAGATGGGCATTAATACTATCTCCATCTCTCAGATGAGGAGACCGAGGCTGAGGGAAGTTAAGTGACCTGCCCAAGGTCACACAGCTGGGACACAAACCCAGGTCTTCTGACCATGTGGTCTGATCAGTAGGTGAGCGCTCTGAGAGGAGCAGAAGATACCTACAGACATGAAGGGAACTCAGAGCTCTGGCACAGCTGAGGTGGGCAAGTCGGAATCCCTCTGGGAGTCTTTCCACAAAACCACCGCGGAAGGGCAAGTTTGGTGGGGGCTCATGCAGGAACACAGGCCCCCGGGACTTACAGCCTGGAAGCTGGCCCAGAAGCCTGGGAAGCCAGAGAAGCACCTCGGGACACAAGGTCACCAAATACAGCGGTCCCAGATGGTGGCCTCTGTCTTGCCTTGGCTCCCGGGATCGTGAGGCCCACACAGCTCTTGGCATCCACTGTGTGGCATGTGCAGGGCAGAGAGGAGAACGGGCTCCTTTTCTCTCAGAGACACGAGGGACGCCTAAATCTAATAAATTAATCTAGACTCCTAGAAACAAGATTAAATTTTCAAATAAAGGCTGGCTCTGACAGCTAAAGCATAAATCTTTTATTTAAAATAGAGACTAAAGCCATTCAAATGCAATCAGCGATGACAGATGCAGATAGAAACAACCTCTGATAGAATAGACACAGTATGGATTTGTTCGCTCCTGGTGACATATCACAAAGGGTGACCTTAGGGACAGTCTCAGTGTCAGCAAACTGGGGGCTTCGCGTCCATTTCCATGAGGCTTGTTGGCCCAATGTGTGACTTGTCCTGAGACAGATGCTGAGGCAGTGGGAAGGAGCCAGGCTCAGAGGCTGTGGTCCCACTGCCACCACCCAAGCAGCCACCGGGAAGAGAAGGGGACCAGCGGTGTTTGGAGGTGTCCAGAGCATCATCCAAGCAGCCGGAGAGGAGAGAAGGGGAGCTGCTGCGAGCAGGCAGGAGAAGGCTGAGACGAGGAGCAGATAGGGAAGGGCAGTGGGGCACTCCCTGGAGCTGCCAGAGCCGAGGGTGAAGCTCTGCAGGGCAGTCTTCTGCCTTGGCTGCGGAAGGGTGGGCACATCTGAGTGCCAGACACGGCGCGCCCCCTACAGGATCCCATTCAGTCTTCACCTCCAACCCTTTTACAGCAGCCACGAGCTGGTTCTAACCAACCAAGTGTGAACAGAAGTGAAGTGTGCCACTTCCAGACTCAGCCTATAATAATCTCCTTGGACGTTCTTCGCAATTTTTCCTCTTCTTGCTTAAACACAGGAGCCTCAGAAGCCATGTTGGAAGGCGGCAGAGTCACAAGAAGGACGGACCTGGGAACCAGAGTCGCTCTTGCAGGCGAGCTTCATGGAAGTCAGGAGTCCCTGGAGGGCTTCCCACGGGCGAGAAGTAAACGTCTATTGCATTAAGCCACTGGGATTCGGGGCTGATCTGTTATGGTGGTTTCCTTAACAGCGAGTTTTTTACGAATTTCGGATAACTTTTCCATTCATCGATTCATCTGTACTTTACAGAAACTCTGGGTGGCAGTCTGGGAATGGCGTTTTACAGACGACAATGCTTGTCCTAGCTTTTAAGTACTTGTGGGAGGGTAGAAAAAGTTTCTAAAAAGAGCTCTTGGATGCGGATGTGAAGAAACTATGATGAAGTGACCGTCCTTGGCCTGGCCCCTTCCTATTGGTTCAGGCATTTCCGTAGTTAGAGCTCTTCCCTGGGACTCCGCCCTCTCTGGCCCCCTCCCTTTCGCTCTGACAGCACTAGGGGCTCTGCCTCTGTCCGTGGTGCTGAACCCAGTGCGTTAGCGGAATGAGCCGGGACTTAAATATTGGACCCAGCTGGGTTTTATCGCTAAGTGTATGTTCCCTCGGAAAGTCTTTTAACCTCTCCAAATGTTAATTTTCTTATCTGTAAAGTGGGGAAAGTATACTTCCCTCATGAGACTGTTGCGAAGATTAAGTGATGTGGAGACTATGGGTCTAGTAGGTGAGTTTTTTTTACATCCTCTCTTCCTACTGACAATAGATATCGAACCTCCCTCCCAAGAGGAGCCGGTGAACTGCTGATAGTTTTATACTTATGTGTAATAGTGACTTCAAGGACCAGGCCTATCGTGCACTGAGGTTTGAGAGAATTAAGAGAAAAAAGAGAACAAACAGTCTAGAGATTGTCTCTCATGATTCTAGCTGCTAGAGGCTAAGGGGTTACAGGATATTTTGAGTCTGAGAGAAATTCGAAGCTTGGGGTATGCTTTTTTGGTACCACCAGTTTCTTCATTTGTAAATGGTGGTGGGGGTGACCCCTCAGCGGTTTCCAACCCTGACAAAAAGACACCTTTAGTGTTCTCACCATTCATCCATCCCCATCTTTGTAAAGATCTTGTCAACGAAACACACTGCACTTATTAAGGAATAACAAATTAATTTCCCCAATTTTATTAATAAAAGACATTTAGAAGTGATTGTGTAATAAAAACAGTATTAAGCTTCCCAGTTTAATGAGGTGGCTGATGCTTTAGCTAGTCTGTGTGGCCTCATTATCGGCTAATGTGTGGATTCCCTTAGGTTTTCTGAATTTTTGCCAAGAATTCACAGAACCCACTGCTCCTTCTGTGAACCTCAGAGCAGGGGTCTTCGCCTTCAGTGGGATGTCAGGGCCCTGCCAGCTCTGATCTGATTCTGACATACCAAGCGGGGCAGGGCAGAGCGGGCACAGGGAAGGAAGAGACAGCACTTACCTTGGGGACTGGAACCACTGAGACTCCCCCGGTGTCTGGTTTAGCCCACACCTGGGAGACAGAATTGACAATCCCACCACTCCCTTCACAGTGACTGTAGCAAGAGGCCGTGTGTGTGTGTGTGTGTGTGTGTGTGTGTGTGTGTGTGTGTAACTGGAAGATTGGTTTATTAATGAAAAAGATGCCTGCCAAGGGAGAGACCGTTGGCCCCCTTTCTGTCCACGCGCTCTGTCCCTGTGGCACGTGACATGGGAAGCTAATATGAAATCAGGAGGATGCTCGGTGGGCATAAACCTAGAGTTAGGAAGTTTGTTGGACAGTTTTAATGACGTTGTCTTCAGACTGCGATGGCTGTTGGGAGGCAACTTCCAGGTGGTTTTATTCAGGCTCTTTCAGTAGTGGAGACACCACTCTGTTCCAGATAATATGGGCAGCAATCCATTAATGCTTGACAC